GGTGGGGTGCGCGGGTGTGTTGGGGGGTGTGTGTTAGATGGGGCGTGTGTGATAGATATGTGTGTGTAATATGGGGGTGGGTGTATGTCTTTTGGGGGGGTGTGCGTTACATGGGGTGCGCGTGTGTGATTTGGGGGCTGTGTTAGATGAGGCGCGTGTGATTTGGGAGGGTGTATGTGTGGTTTGGGGTGTGCGTGTGTGTGTGCGCGCGTGTGTTATTTGGCGCGCGCGCGCGTGTTATTTGCGGGGCGTGGTTAGGGCCCGTGTGCGCGCGTGTGTTATCTGGGGGTGTGCGCGCTGTGAGTGTTGTTCGGGGTGTGTGTGTGTGTGTGTGTGTTAGGGGGGGTGTGTGCATGCGCTCGCCCCGTCGGAGCCGCCGGCTGCACCAGGGCGGGTCGCGGTGGCTTTTAACCCCATCGGGCATGAGGGGTGTGAGCCGTGGGGAGGGGTCCCGTGCCGTGCCGGCCCGCGGTGGGGATGCTGCGGGGCTTGCGCGGGGCTCCCGCGGGCAGCGCCGGCCGCCAGGGGGCGCCTGCGGCTGTGCGGGGGGGTGTGTGCGCACACGTGCGTGCGCGCCTATCTGTGTGTGTGTGTGTGTATGTGCGCCTCTGCCCGCGTAGGTGCGTCTGTGTGTGCATGTGTGTCCGCCGTGGGGGCGGGCAGGTGCCGCTGCAGCCGCCGGAGGCTTGCTTGCGGAGCGGGTGTGTGCATGGGTGTGCACCACGGCTTCAGAGGATCTTAACCCCCTGCAAAAGCAGCCTCAAACGCCTGTCCTCGGGCTCCCGGGCGTGCGGTGAGCGCTGCCCCGAGCCGGGGGGTTGCGGGAGAGCACGTGGAGCGGGCGCTGGCCGGGGTTGCTGCGGGGCTGCCTGGAGGGGTGCTGGCTTCTGCCGAGAGCCCCCGGGGGTCTCTGCCCAAAGCACCAGCATCTCTGCCCAAAAAGGAGCGGGGGTGTGAGAGGTAGGGCTGAGATGCCAGCCCCGTGGCTGTGGCAGGGAGTGCTGCCAACCAAGCTGGGGCAAAGCAGAGCCTGAATCCAGTAGGCTTCCCCAGGCAGAGCCAAGGCACTTAGGGAAGCCGGGATCAAGCAGCTGGGGGGGGGGCTCCTTGGGAGGCAGGCACTAGGGATCTCCATCTAGCCCCCGCTTGCCCTGATCTGAGCAGCTGCAACCTCTGCATTAGGCGAGGGGAGCTGCAGCAGCCAGGTTTTTCTGCTCTCCAGAGCTCATGCACTTTGGTTGCAGCTGGAAGATCCCTTTTGTATAGTGGTGGGATGCCCAGAACAGAGGGAGGAGGAGTCCCTGCCCTAATCAATCTCATCACTTTTAGGCAAAGAAGAGATTAGCACTCATAACTTCCAGGATCAGGTGGGATGGGGGGAAATGCAATGAGAGCAGGCATTGGAACAAAGTGGGGTACTGATCAGAGGATCAGTGGGTGGCAGAGGAGGAGGAAAGGATCCTTTGGGGGGGTTATTTTTTTAGAGAACATTTGGTCCTGGAACCTGGGGCAAGATGCAGGATGAAGAAACCAGTTATGGTCACACTCCCTTATTAAGAGTGGAGTAATAAATGATTAGCAGATGTCTTAACTTTGTGGCAGACACCAGTAGTGCAGTGTAATGCAGATGCAGACATCTGTAGTAGGCGCATAGATGGTCCTGCAGGCCACAGCCATAAGGAGCTCTTTGTTGGACCAGTTGGTTGACCATTGAAGTCCTTTAAAAGCACTAGTGCTATAAATAGTATGTAAAACTCCAGTGGGATAGGCCAGTATTATTTCCTGTCACTTAACGAGCCTTTGTTGGCAACATTCTGAGTTACCACCTCCAAAAAGGGAGAGAGTTTTTTTCTTTAAATGAAAATAGAATGATGTCTGTGGATATGAAAAAGTCCTGACAACCCATTATTATCTAATCAGACATAATTGAGTCTCTGATGAGTTCGGTGGAGTAATAAGCCAGTGTTGCTAGCTGCTGAAAGGACACTGAACTTTCAAGTATTTCAGCAGTGTGTAGTGAATTGTGACTCTGTCACTAACTCAACAGAAAAATGTAAATGGGGAGGATTCTTCTGTGGACACCTATTTTTCAGAGGCATCATCTAATGCTTTTCTTGAAGCGGTGAGGAAAGGAGGAGGCATTGGAAATGAAGGAGAAATGTCCCCTGACCTATGCTGTCCTGGGCTACTTCCATGAAGCCCTGGATACGGTACCATGCTGCTAGTCTATATGGTGCAGGGCAGAGATGCACCTTATAGACTACCAGAATTGCAGATGCATAAGCTTTCATGAACAAGAGCTCATTTCAACATCAGGCTAATACTGAGCTGTTCCTTATAGGAGGCAGGCACCCCGTCCTCTTCTGTGGTGACCTTCAAATCCTAAGCACTCTGTCTTCTGCCGCTTACACCATTAATATCTTCTTTTAAAGATCAGGATCCCAGTCATTCATAGATGCTACACACTAAGGCTGGAAGGGACCTCGGAAGATCATCGTGTCCAGCCCCCAATCATAATTGTCATCTGTCCCTTTCAGCTACAGTGGTAACGGGGCCACTATACCTAGATGGTCAAAAGTCCTTTTTATTATATTTCTTTCTATTGAGATGTGTTGGGAATGCCTCGAAGAAGAAAGAAATCATGACCCTTCCCTGGAGGGGGTTGATAAGCTAACAATAGACAGGATGCAACGAAGAAGAAACAATACAGCAGGGAAGATAAAGAAGGAAGACAGAGTGATATCAGTCGAGACCAGGTGATTACTCAGTGAGGGTTAGTAGTGTGATAGGGTTTTTTTGGTTTGCCTTGTTTTGTTTTTTTCAGCGACTGCCACTCCATTACTTTTGTCACAGCAGCAAGGGGTCTTAAGGAGAGGCCCAGGCACACTAGGAAGTGTATCCAAGGTAGATAGGCTGGTGATGTATGTTAGGGAGAAAAGCAGATGAGTGGGGTGTTGAGGCTGGCATTGCTGTTGGAGCAGGAGGTTTTGGAAGGTGAAGACCCTTGATGTCGTGGAGAAAGAGGATTTGGGAGTGCCATGGACTAGGTGACGGGTCTGGAAGGTGAGCTGACAAGTCCTGTTATAGGTGGAGTGCAGGGCGGATGCTCAGGGGGTGTCGGAGAAGCCACCTGCACCAGGTAAACTTGATCCACACGACTTAAAAATATCTCGTTAATACAGCCCTGAATGCTGTGGCTTATAGTAGGAAGGCTGCTGGCAAATGTTGTGTTAATTGTGTTACTGCATTGTGCTGTCCAGCCGCTATGGACTACTGTGGTATCCCTTCGGGTTGTGGGAACCTGCTGTATATCGTTAGCGTTTGCAATCTCCCGGACATTTTCCTGCTTAAAACAGCATGTTTAGTCTTTCCACTTTGTGCATCTTGGACAATGGAAATAGATTTGTTGGTTTCCCTTTCCCCTGGAGAAGTTTTTGACTGGCTTTTATTTTCTGCGTCTCGTGCGTTCCCAGCTCAGTGACACAGAGGTTTGGGTTGCCAGCCCTGCGGGGGAAGACAGCAATGCAAACAAAAACGGTGCTGGCATTTAGAAATTATGAAAACAGTTTCTAGTAAGAGCAGGCTTTGACAAACCTCAGATCCCAAAATACCGCCGTGAGGGCTATTTGGAAGCCGTGTATTTATAACTATTCTAGGTTTTATTTTTATTCCTTTTTTTTAAACAAAGCTAAATAAACAGGACCAAGAAAAGAAAACTGAAGTGACATCTGATGGCAGAATCGTAACAGGCTAGGCGATGCTACTCAGAAATAAGCCAAGTACCCAGATCTTGCAGATTTACACAAATAATCCTTGCCCGCACTATTAGGTCTGTTAATGGCAGTGGAGTAACTTGTGTAAGGCTGGACTGCTGGCGTGTCCAGTCACCTCCAACTTCTGGTTTAGCCACAAGTTATTAGACTTTGTAGTGTTTGTTGTCTCACTAGGAAAGAGTAATTCCCTGCATTAGGACCAGTAGGTGAAACGTGGCCTGTGTAATGTGAGCAAGATGTCTGTGACCTTTGTAGTGTAAAGTCTATGAACCTCTGAGTCCATCTCAGTTCACGGGGCAGGGAGGTGGAGCGTGGGAGAGAGACCGACAGTAGCTTTTCTGGAAACGTTAAAAGATTGTGTAGGAAAGAGAG